TTTGAAAGAGCTACAGAGAGAGGTAGAGACAGAGAGAGAGGTCTTCCAAAATCTGCTGGTTCACTCCCCAGTTGGCCGCGATGGCCGGAGCTGTGTCCATCCAAAACCAGGAGGCAGAAGCTTCTTCTGAATCTCCCATGTGGGCGCAGGGGCCCAAGGATTTGGGCCATCTTCCACTGCTATCCCAGGCCATAGCAGAGAGCTGGATCAGAAGAGGAGCAGCCAGGACTAGAACTGGCACCCATATGGGATGCCGGTGCTTCAGGCCAGGGCTTGTAACCCAGTGTACCACAGCGCCGGCCCCCCTCTTTGTTAATTCTTATGTGAACATATTCTAGATAGTCTTTTTGTCCCTTAGATTTTTCAATGGAAATTACAACCTGGAAATGTACAATACATCAGCTCATCTGGGTGGTAGTGTCCCCTTGTATGTATGTACCATAGTTCAGTCAACCTGGATTTGAACATACAAGTTGTTTTCAGAATTTTGCAATTATACATAGTTCTGAAGTGACTAACTTGGTGTTTATGTATTTTTGCATTGTTAGTGTACTTTCAGAATATTTTCCTAGCTAAACAAATATGTAATTTTATTAAATGTTGGCATTTTTACCAGTAAACTATGAGAATGTGTCCACTGATCCCCACCAGAGAGCTGGTCATATTTTTAAAATTCTTGCTAGTTTGATAGGCAAACAGTGGTATCTCAGTGTGGTTTTCACTTACATATTTTCCGTTTGCAAGTTAAGTTGAACATCTCATATTTAGTGATGGTTTAATTTTTATTTGTTGGAATTACCTATCTTTTCACATTTTCTGTCAGCTTTTTTGTGTTTTTCCCTCAATTTTATATATTAAAGAGACTAGCCTTTTATTATAAATGTTACAGTTACTTTCTGCCCTTTTTTTCCCTCTTGCCTTTTGTCTTTGTTTATGGTGGGTTTCTTGTTTTGAATGAAGAGGAGTCATAGAAAACTACTTACTTTTATGTTCTCATTTCATCAGTCATTACTTTCATTGTGTCTGGATTTTAACTCACAGTTAGAAAGCTTTTCGCTGTACTCTACATAAAAGAGGAATTTGCCTGTGTCGTCTTCTGGTACTTGCAGTTTTTCATTATGTAAATTTTATTATCCCTCATCCATTTTGAGTTTATTCTGTATGTTTTGAGTTATGGGTCTAATTTTTGTCGTTTTTCCGTATCAATCACCAGATTTGTGAGTATTCTATATTAAAAATTTCTTTGCCTCTTAGCAAATAATTAAGTTCCATATTTATTTGGATCTGTTTCTCAGATTTCTACATGAGCAATTTTCAGCTTTTATGGTGATGAGATCTCTTTAATATTGTTAAATTTTGTTGAGTACCTTAAATAACTTGTTCTGTAGGATGTTTTTGCCACTTGATTCATCATATACTAACCGGTGTGTTAAAATGTCCTAATATTCACATTTCTTTATTTCCATGCATCTTTTATGGTTTTTGCTTTATAAAAAGCCACTGTATTATTTGATATGTAACTATTCATAAACTTTTTATTTTGAATTACCAATTTTAGCATTCTGTTTGGTTTGAGATCTAATTTGCCTCATATACCTTTATACAACCCTTTAATTTTAGCATTTCTGAGTCTTTTTGTTTAATTGTATCTCTTGAATACAACATATGCTTGGTTCTTCCTTTGTGAGCCAAATTGAAAAATCTTTTTCTTGTATTAGGCAGTAAATCCATTCTGATGAGACATAATTTGCTCTCACCTCTATCATTTTATTTTATGATTATTATATATTTTATATTTTCTGTTTGTTTCTCTGCATAATTTATTTCCTTTGTTCTTTTGTGTTTTTTTTTTCCTGTTTTTGTTTTAAAGATTATTTAATTTGAAAGTCAGAGTTACACAGACAGACAGATCTTCCATCTGCTGGTTCACAATGACCAGTGCAAGAACCTGGCTCAAAGCCAGGAGTCTGGAGCTTCCTCCGGGTCTCCAAAGTGGGTGGTAGGAGCCCAAACACCTACACCATCTTCTGTTGTTTTTCCCAGGCCTTTAACAGGGAGCTAGATCAGAAGCGGAGCTGCCAGAACACAAACCAGCACCCATATGGGATGCCAGCATCGCAGGCGGTGGCTTAACACAGTGCGCCACATGCCAGCCCATCTCTCACACTTTCTTTAACCTTTCTCTTTATCTACTTTCCATTCTCAAAGTTGTTTCAGTGCCCCTGAGTTAGATATTTTTTAAAAGACTTATTTATTTGAGAGGCAGAGTTACAGAGATGGAGAGACAGAGAGATCTTCCAAATACTTATTCACTCCCCAAATGGCCCCAACAGCCGGAGCTGGGCCAATCTGAATCTAGGAGCCAGGAGCTGCTTCTCCGTCTCCCAGGTGGGTGCAGGGGCCCAAGCACTTGGGCCATCTTCCACTGCTTTCCTAGGCCGTTAACAGGGAGCTGGAATGGAAGTGGAGCATTCTTGACTCAAACTGTCACCCTTATGGTATGCTGAAACAAAGAGGGTAGGGGCTTAACCTACTATGCTGCAGCACCAGCCCCCTAAGTTACTATTTTTTAAGAATTTTTGAATGTTATGGTTAGAGGTGCAGTAAGCCTGTGATGAAAATAAGTTGAAATTATGTTATTGAAAAAAATTAAAGGAAAAGAAGGAAGAAGGGGGGATTGAGGGAGGGATAGAAGGACAAAGGGAAGTATAGTTATCTTTTTAGAATTATATCTATGTAATCAGTTATCTTTATATTAATAAAAGTTTTTAAAATTATTCTTCTCTAGGTACATTATAATTCAATAATCATTTCTAATATGATATATTCTTTTTTCTTGTTCTTTTCCTGACTTGGATTAAATCTATACTTCTTGGTCTATTTCTTTTCTTAGTTTTTAAGTTTTTGGTTTAAAATGTGTGCACCCCTCCCAATATATCTAAAATGCTTGTTTGAAAATACTTAATTCAATTTAGAATGTTGTGTTGATGTTTTCTTGGGCTACACAATTTGTTTTAAGGGAGAAATTCCCATCAGTTGAATTGCTTAGACTCTGATTTTCTGTTTCTTTTAATAGTATCTTTGTATAGATGAAGACTATGCCTTTGCATTTCCATACACAAGGTTGAGGACCTGGGGTGGTTTACAAGATTCCTAGTTCAAGAAGAGTTCTCTCTTCTAACAGTTTCATGAAGAATATGTCTGTGTTTGATAAGCTTTCTGTGAAGAGTTATACATCTATCATTTTTTTTTAAGATTTATTTTATTTATTTGAAAGAGTTACAGAGAGAGGTAGAGCCAGAGAGAAAGAGGTCTTCCATTTGCTGGTTCACTCCCCAGATGACTGTAATGGCCAGAGCTGAACTGAGCTGAAGCCAGGAGTGAGGAGCTTCTTCCAGGTCTCCCGCATGGGTGCAGGGGCCCAAGGACTTGGACCATCTTCCACTGCTTTCTCAGGCCATAGCAGAGAGCTAGATTGGAAGTAGAGCAGCTAGGACTCAAACCGGCACTCATATGGGTTGCCAGGACTGGAGGCTGGGGCCTTAACCCGCTGTGCCACAGCACCAGCCCCAGGTCTTATCACTTTTAAAAAATTGTTCTTAAGTCTTATTGGATCCAAATTTTCCCCTTTTGTTTTTTCTTTTCACTACATACAAAATGTCTTACTATTGCCCCCACATTTTTTTTATACTCATGAGGTAGAAAGACAGAGATAGAGACAGATAGAACTTCCATTTGCTGGTTTACCCCAAAATGTCCACAGTGGCCAAGGCAGGGCCCACGGCCAGAGTCAGGAGCTGGGAACTACCTGCTGCCTCTTAGGGTCTGCATTGGCAGGAAACTGGAATCAGGAGCCAGAGCCAGGAGTTGAAGCCAGGCACTGTGATATGGGAGATGGGCATCGTAACCTGTACCTTGACCGCTAGACAAAACATCTGCCCCTTTCATTCCTTTTGAACATTCGTCTCTGCTAAGCATTATCTTTCCTGTAGGTGCTTTTGAATTTCCTTCTTTCCATTTAGTACTCTGATTTACTAGTATAATTTTTTTTTATTATTCTCACATTCCAATGGGACTTTTTCTTTCTGCCTTAGTTTTAGATCAGTCTAAAGTTCATAGCTGGTTCCCATCTTCTCTTTTTTACAGTTTTTCTTCGTGACAGCCAGCATGGGAAAAGAGACAAATTTGGATATTCCCAGTTTTTTGCTAGAATTTGCTGTACATTTTACAGATAATTTAAAGTTTGAATATTTTCTCTTCTGGTTAAATGAAGGCTATGGATTTTATTGTTCTTGTGGAGGATGTGTTGGGAAATTTATACCATAATTACTCCTTGAGTTGGAGAGTTCATCCTGACAGATTAATAAATCTGTTGTTGCTGTGTGATTTGTCACTTTGATAGCACTGATTTTCACTTTCATGGCATTCTTATGATTCTTTAATGAATCTTTGTCTCTCTGTCACTCTGCTTTTTCAAGTAGATAAAAATAAACAGACATGTAAAGTAAAATGGATACTGCTGTTTTGCCCCACATTTTGGATAAAAGTATTCTATTTTTAGTATTTAATTGTTTGAAAGTATACAATGAGAAGTTTCATTTTGTAAAATAAAAGTTTCAAAAAATACATAAGGTACTATTGGAAAAGGAAATTAGAGTGATTATAATACTCATATATATATATATGTTCTATTTCTTGTGCAGTTCATTAAATGATATTTTTAAACTCAGTATTTTTACATTAAAATATTTTTAACATTCCTGTCTTTATTATGCTTTAAGATTTCATTGTACTTTCCAAGAAATATGGTTGAGAAACTTATAATAAGGTTCATTTACAATATCTTAAGATTTAGGTCTAGGTAAATATTAGTAATGGAACTTAGAGTTGATGATTCATAAAATACATTTTGGAAACCTAAGAATAGGAAGGTGAGTTATTAAGTATTAAGAATCCCTTATTTTATCAGTTTGCAGTTAAATGATTTTTTGCTGTTACAGTTGGTGGTATCCTTACTTCTGTGCCTCCTGGACTGGATCATGGCCTTACCTCTAAAGACACTACTGCAGCCTGTCCACACAGCAGGAACAGAAAATGATAAAACAGAAAAATCTGTCCTCAATTGCATTTATAAGGTATACTTCCTTGTTTAGTGTTTGTTTGATAAGCAAAGGTTTTTAAAACAAAGAAATAACATTTCTTAGTATAGCATTTTCATTGTTTTAGAGCTGGATATTTCCCAAGAATCTAGATTTAACTTAGAGTTCGTAAAGGTAATTGAAAACTACCTTCACTGAAGGAGCAGACACTCCACTAAGCCATCAGAAGAGAAAACCAACAAGTATTTCCACAAATGTGAAGACAAAAAGTTTGATGAAATGCCTAAAAGGGAATTCCAAAGAATGGTAATAATATTACTCAAAAAAAAAAAAAAGAAAAGTGAAATGCAAATTCATGACTTAAAGAAACCCATACATGACATTAAAGACAAATTTTCCTTTGAGATAGATAAAGTGAAGAGAAATCAAACTGAAATATAAGGAATGAAGAAATTAATATGTCAAATAAAAAATACAGTGGAAGGCCTCAACAGCAGACTTGGTGAGGCAGAAGAAGGAATATCTGAGCTACAAGACAAATCTTTGGAAATGTTTCAGACATTAAAAAAAGGAGATGAAATGAGATAAACCAAATAGAGTTTATGAGATCTATGGGATACTATCAAATAACCTAAAGTACATGCCTTAGGATGTTTGGTAAGAGACAATGAATTAGAAGGCCTATTCAGTGAAATAATAACAGAAAACTTCCCCAATTTGGAGAAAGAAAGAGACATCCAAGTACAGGAAGCACATAGAATTCCTAACAGAGATGACTAGAAAAGATCTATGCCACAACACATTATATTCAGATTTTCAACAGTAAAACAATAAAGAAAAGATTCTAAAATGTACATATGAGGAACACCAGATTACCTTCAGAGGATCTCCAATGAGACTCACTACTGACTTCTCATCAGAAACCTTAAAGGCTCGGAGAGAAAATGGAGAGACATAGTTCAAATCTTAAAAGAAAAAACTGTCATCCTAGAATAACGTACCTTGCAAAGCTGTCATTTATGAATGAAAGTAAAGACCTTCCAAAACAGAAATTGAAAAAATTTGTCACCACTTGTTCAGCTTTACAAATGACACGTAAGGATGTGCTACACACAGAAATACAGAAAGATAGTCATCATTATGAAAGAATATTAAGGCAGAAAATCTCCTAGTAAAATTACAAAGGAAATCCAAAGCAAACAGTAGGAATAGTTAGGGGACATTGGCAAGGCCAAGTCATTATTTATAAATAATAACCTTGAATGTCAGTGGCCTAAATTCTCTAATTGAAAGATACAGACTGGCTGAATGGATTAAAAACATGAGACCCAGGGCTGGAGCTGTGGCGCAGTAGGTCCAGCATCCACCTGCGGCACCAACATCCCATATGGGTGCTGGTTTGAGTCTTGCTGCTCCACTTCCAATCCAACTCTCTGTTGATGGCCCAAGTGGTTAGGTCCCTGCACCCATGTGGGAGCCCCAGAAGCACTCCTGCTCCTGGCTTTGGATCAGCTCAGCACCAGCTGCTGCAACCATTTATGGAGTGAACCAGTGGATGGAAGACCTTTTTCTCTGTCTTTCCCTCTCACTCTAACTCTGCCTCTCAAGTAAATAAATAAATCTTAAAAAAAAAAAAAAAAAAGACTCATCTGTTGCCTACCAGAAACACACTTCACCAGCAAAAATATACACAGACTAAAAGTGAAGGGATAGAAAAAGATATTCCAGGCTAAGAAAGCTAAGAGTAGATGTAGCCATCCTAACATCAGACAAAATAGGCTTTAACACAAAAACTGTTAAAAGAAACAAATAAGGTCATGTAATGGTTAAGGGATCAACTCTACAGGAAGATGTGACTATAGTAAATGTATATGCATCTAATGCCAGGGTGCCTGGCTATTTAAAACAAATGTTAATAAATCTAAAGAGAGACATAGACTCCAGTACATTAATAATGGGGAACTTCACACCCCACTTTCATCAATGGACAGATCAGCCAGGCAAAAAAAATCAATAAAGAACAATAGAGCGGGGTGGGCGCTGTGGCGTAGCCAGTAAAGCCGCTGCTTGCAGTGCTGGCATCCCATATGGGCGCCAGTTTGAGTCTCAGTTGCTCTGCTTCCAATCCAGGTCTCTGCTGTGGCATGGGAAAACAGTAGAAGATGGCCCAAATAGTTAGGCGCCTGCACCCACGTGGGAGACCTGGAAGAATCTCCTGGCTCCTGGCTTCAGATCAGCCCAACTCCAGACATTGGGGCCATTTGGAGAGTGAACCAGCATATGAAAGAACTGTCTCTCTCTGCCTCTGCCTCTCTGTAACTCTGCCTTTCAAATAAATAATAAGTAAATCTTTAAAAAAAAAAAAAAAAGGACAGAGCTAATCTACACTATGGACCTAATGGATATCTACAGAAATTTCATCCCACAGATGCATAATACACATTCTTTTCATCAGTGCATGGAACTTTCTTGAGAGTGGATCAAGTTCTAGGAAATAAAGCAAGTCTCAACGAATTCAAAACACTGACATAATGCCAGGTATCTTTTCTGACCACAATAGAATGAAGCTGGAAGTTAACAAGAAACTTCAGAAAATATGCAAACACAAGAAGACTGAACAACACACTCAAGAATGAGGTGCAGGTCATAGAACAAATCAAAAAATTTCTGCAGATGAATGAAGATGATAATACTACATATCAAAACCTATAGGGTTTAGCAAAAGTAAAGTAAAGAGGGAGATTTGTAACAATTAATGCCTACATCAAGAAATTGGAAAGGTGTTAAATAAATGATCTAATAAGGCATCTCACGGACCCAGAAAAACATGAATAAACCAAACCCAAAATTAATAAGAAGAAATAATTATTATTAGAGAAGAAATAAACAAAATAGAGGCCAAAAATAATACAAAAGATCAATGAAATGAAGAGATGGTACAACAGACACCACAGAAATAAAAAGAATCATCATGAATTACTATAAACAACTATATGCCAACAAATGGATAGATTTCTTGTCATATACAGTTTCACCACATAAATAAAAAGAATCATCATGAATTACTATAAACAGCTATATGCCAACAAATTGGAAAACCTAAAAGAAATGGATAGATTTCTGGTCATATACAATCTACCAAAGTTGAGTCACAAAGGCATAGAAAACCTAAATAGACCAATATCCAAGATGTAGATTGAATCAGTAATAAAGACTCCCCTCACCCCCATCAAAGAAAAGCCCAGGACCAGATGGCTTCACTGCTGAATTCTACCAAACTTTTAAAGAACTAATTCCAATTCTTCTCAAACTATTCAAAACAATTCAAAGGGGAGGGAATCCAACAAAATCCTTCTATGAGGTCAGCATCACCTTACTACCTAAACCAGAAAAAGATATAACAAAGAAACAAAACTATACACTATTATCCATGATGAACATAGATGCAAAAATCCTCAACAAAATACTGTAATTGAATACAAAACATATCTGAAAGATCATTCACCTGTACCAAGTGGGATTTATCCCTGGTATTCAGGGATGGTTCAACATACACAAGTCAATAAATGTCATATGTCTCATCACATTAATAAATGTAATACATCACATCACATTGGAATAAAAGCCATAGATTGGGGCCAGTAGGTTAATCCTCCGTCTGCGGCGCTGGCATCCCATGTGGGCACCAGTTCAAGTCCCAGCTGTGCCTCTTCAAATCCAGCTCTCTGCTATGGCCTGGGAGACCAGTAGAAGATGGCCCAACTGCCTGGGCCCCTGCACCTGTATGGAAGACCCTGAAGGAGCTCCTGGCTCCTGGCTTCAGATTGGCACAACTACAGTTGCAGCCATTTGGGAGTGAACCACAGAAGGAAGAACTTTATCTCTATCTCTTTTCCCTCTGTCTGTAACTCTACCTCTCAAAAAATAAAATAAAATAAAATCTTAAAAAATATATTATTATCCTAATAGATCAATAGATGCAGAAAAAGGGTTTGATAAAATATACATCCTTTCATGATGAAAACCTTAAGGAAATTCAGTATAGAGAGAACATTCAAGCCAATATATCACAAACCCATAGCCAGCATCAAATTGAATGGATTTTCACTAAGATCTGGAACCAAACAAGGATGTCCAATTTTACCATTGCTATTCAATACATTTCTGGAAGCTTCAGCCAGAACCATTAGGCAAGAAGAAGAAATCAAATAGATACAAATTAGAAAGGAGGAAATCAAATTATCCCTGTTTGCTGATGACATGATCCTATATATAGGAAAACAAAAAGATTCCACTGTGAGACCATTTGAAGCTCATGAGAGAGTTTGGTAAAGTTGTAGGACATAAAAATCAATAGCTTTATATATACAAACAATGCCATGGCTGAGAAGGAACTTGTAAGATCAGTCCCATGCACAATAGCTACAAAAAATTTTGGGTTTTTTTTCTTTTTATTTTATTTATTTTAAAGAGTTACACAGAGAAAGGGATAGACAGATCTTCCATCCACTGATTTATTTCCCAAATGGCCACAACAGCCAGGATTGGGCCAGGCCGAAGTTAGGAGCCAGAACCTTCCTGTGGGGCTCCCACATTGGTGGCAGGGGCCCAAGCACTTGGGCTATCTTCCACTACTTTTCCCATGCCATTAGCAGGGAGCTGGACTGGAAGTGGAGCAGCAGGGACATGAACTGGTGCCCATATGGGATGCTGGCACTGTAGGCAGCAGCTTTACCCACTGTACCATAATGCTGGCCCATTCAAAAAAATCTAGATGCTTTGGAATAACTTTAATCAAGCAGTTGGAAGACCTCTACAATGTAAATTACAAAACATTAAAGAAGGAAAGAAGACAGCAAAAAAGTGGAAGAATCTTTCATGACTGGATTGGAAGATTTAATACCATCAAAACGTTCACACTACCAAAAGCAATTTACAGATTCAGTGTGATCCCAGTCAAAATACCAACAAATCTAGAAGAAATGCTGATAAAATTCATATGGACAAAAGAGACCCTGAAGAACTAAAGCAATTTTAAACAAAAGCAAAGCCAGAGGCATCACAATATCAGATTTCAAGACACACTACAGGGAAGTTATAATCCAATGGCCTGGTACTGGCACAAAAATAAACTTGTGAGAAGCATCTGCACTACAAACAGAACACTCAACAAAGCAAAGAAGCAGCCAAAAGAGTGGGAAAAAATATTTGCAAACTATGCAACTGATATAGGAGTAATACCTAGAATATATAATGAGCTCAAAAAACTCCACAACAGCAAAACAAACAATCTGGTTAAAAAAATAGGCCAGCGGCACAGCTCACTTGGCTAATCCTCCGCCTGCAGCACCGGCACCCTGGGTTCTAGTCCCGGTTGGGGCTCTGGATTCTGTCCCAGTTGCCCCTCTTCCAGTCCAGCTCTCTGCTGTGGCCTGGGATGGCAGTGGAGGATGGCCCCAGTGCTTGGGCTCTGCACCTGCATGGGAGACCAGGAGGAAACACCTGCACCTGGCTTTGGATCGGCACAGTGTGCCGGCCGTGGTAGCCATTTTGGGGGTGAACCAACGAAAGGAAGACCTTTCTCTGCCTCTCTCTTTCACTGTATAACTCTGCCTGTCAAAAAAATAAATAGGCAAAGGATATGGACAAGCATTTTTCAAAAAATGAAATTCAGATGGCCAAAAGACAGATGAAAAAATACTCAAGATCACTAGCCATCAGGGAAATGCAAATCAAAACCACAATGAGATTTTGCGTCACCCTAGTTAGGATGGCTCTTGTACATAAATCAGAAAACAATAAATACTGGCAAAAAATTGTGGGGAAAAGATACCCTAATACACTGTTAGTGAGAATGTAAACTAGGACAACCATCATGAGACACTGTATAGATTTCTATGCCATCTGAAAACAGGTCTGATCATATGACCCAGCATTGCACTCCTGGGAATTTACCCAAATGAAATGAAATCTGCATATGAAAGAGTTATCTGTACCCCCATGTACAATTCACAAGAGCTAAGATAGGGAATCAATTCCTAAGATAGGAAATCAATCCCAATGTCGGAGTTGATGACTGGATAAAGAAAGTGTGGTATATATACATTATGGAATACTACTCAGCTGTAAAAAGGAATGAAATCCTGTCTTTTGCAAAAAGTGAATGTAGTTAGAAACCATTATGCTTAGTGAAATAAGCTAGTCCCAAGATGACAAATACCTTATGTTTTCCCTGATCTGTTACAATTAATAGAGCACAAAAAATTGCTATATGAACAAAATTGACATTTTGAGAATTGATTTGTGTTTACAGCCCTTGTCTCTACTGGTGAGACAAGTTCTTTATTGTTTGTTGAATTATTTACTTAGTGAAATGTTAAGCTTTGCTTATAAAATAAACTGAAAATATGTCATTGTAAAAATTAAAAGAAAAAATAGGAAAGGAAAGAGGAGGAGTGTGGGAGCATGGGCAAGAGGTAGTGTAGGGTAGGAGTACCACTGTTCTCCTAAATCTGTATTTATGAAAAGCATGACAAATTTATATAATTTAAACAATTTTAAAAATAAAAGTAAATTCATATATAAATCTAAAAAAAAGTACTTCCTATAAGATACTGTTGTTTTTGCTGAATTGAAGAATCATTTCTTAGATTTTACTCATTTTTTAAGAGTTATTAAATTTTACCTTAATAGCTAAATTTAAAAATATCTAAAAATGTTGCCAAGTTCTTTTGTTACCTGTTGACTTTTTTCTCCTTTTATTTTTACTTATTTCCACTTGAAAGTAAAATTTGGAATTTTCTTTTCTCTGTTTTCAGGTTTTACATGGGTGTGTTTATGGAGCTCAATGTTTTAGCAATCCAAAGTATTTTCCAATAAGCCTGTCTGATTTGGCATCTGTAGATTATGATCCTTTTATGCATTTGGAGAGTCTGAAAGAGCCTGAACCTCTACACTCTCCTGATTCAGAGCGGTCTTCTAAACTCCAGCCAGTAACAGAAGGTAAAATGAATTCTTTAGAGGACAATATCACTGCTTGGGTTCCTGCAAGGTTTGATTTAATAGAGGAGAAGAATGTGTCTTACTTTGATTGTTTATATAACCACGTATATTCTAGCAGAAGTTCATTTATTTATTTACTTATTTATTTGAGAGGTAGAGTTACAGATAGAAAAGGAGAGACAGAGAGAAAGGTCTTCTATCCACTGGTTCACTTCCCCAAATGGCCACTACAGCCAGAGCTGAGCTGTTCCAAAGCCAGAAGCCAGGAGCCTTGAACCTTCTCCAGGTCTCCCATGCAGGTGCAGGGGCCCAAGCATTTGGGCCATCTTCCACTTCTTTCCCAGTCCACAAGCAGAGTTGGATCACAAGAAGAGCAGCTAGGACATAAACTGGCACTCATATGGGAAGCTGTTGCCACAGGCTGAGGCTTAGCCTACTACACCACAGTGCCAACCCCCGGAAGTTCATTTGTAGTGTAAGATATATCTGTTCATGTGCAATTACTAATACTATATATAATAATGTTCCCTTTGTTATCTGGCTATGTTATTCTTAGAGTTTCTTTTTGATATTATATATATATCATATGATTTACATAGAATGAGAGAACTTTGGAGTCTGACAGACCTGCTACTGAATTTTGACTCCCAATTGCTAAGTAACTATTTTCTTATTTGTAAGTTGAGAATAATATTAGTTCCTTTGTAGGGTTGTTTTGAATACTAACATTTGTAAAGCACTCTGCACATTTCTTGGAAAAGAGTGAACTCAGTAGCTTTCTTTTAAAATCCCAGTTGGTCTATATTCAAGAATTCACTTTCTGATACAAGAGAAAAATATAAACAAATAACCTTATGAGTATAAAAAGAAAAGTATATGCAAGATACTGAATATGGTACATGGGAACACAGCAGAGAGTGAAGAATTTTCAGGAAGGGAACACACGATAAAATTAGTATTAAGAGCACTTTTGACAGTATTTTGTAGGAATCAGCAAATTATGGCTCATGCCAGAGGCCCGTTTCTGTAGATAGTCTTATTGGACTGTCTCCATGTTGTTTTGTGTCATTATGGCTTCTTTAGTGTAACTAGAAATGCTGAACAGCAGCAGAAATCACATGGCCCACAAAACAGAAATAGTTCCCATCTGGTCCTTTACAGAAGAAGTTTTCTAAACCTTGATATACGAGGTTGATTTGGGAAGTTTCCCCAAAACCAGTGTGATCTATCTTGCTACTGTTATAATATGCCAAGGAATAGTTGCTGAAGACTTTAACTGAACTTTTCATTTAGTTTTTTTTTTTTGCTTGTTTGTTTAGATCTTTTTAAATTTAATTTCATTTAGTTAAAGAATACCTACTAAAGAATGACGGTAGGAACAGAAAAGAAAGATTACTTTGAAAAATATTTAGGCAGTAAAGTTTAGAGGCTTTTGTTAAGAAAAAGGAGGGATCTACAGATTTCTGATTGGTTAGATTCTGACTTGGAGATTGGTTAGATTTTCCCCAGGATAGATCAAGAATGTAAGAGAAGAAGTGATTGGGGAGGAAGAATGTGGAAAGCAGTATGGTAAATACTTACTTTGGGATGCTTTTTGAACATTCATATGAAGACACCTAGTGGACAATTATTGGTATATACAGACCTAGATCTTGGCAACAGATCATTGTTAGGAATCTACATTTACTTCTGTGGGTTCTGAGAAGAAAATGTTGGAAGGGTAGGAAAGCTGGGAGAGTCATTTCTTAGAAACTATGAAAAGAGAAAGCCTTTTAAAAGGCTAGCCAACAGAGGTCAAGTATGAAAGGACTGGCAAATATGTCTGCTTTAGTGTCAGCAGAGAAGTAGGAGGCAGAAACAAATGACTACAGGCTGAGGAAGGAGAGCCATCCCATGGAAAATACTCTGTAAAGAAGTTTGTTGGAAAGTGAAAAGATAATAAAACAGTAGGTAAACTAAAGGATGATTCAAGGTTAGGATCAAAAGAGTTGATTATTTAAAGCCTATTAAGGAAGTAAATGAAAAGGATATCAATACAAGACTGAATTCTACTGAATTCCTGGAAGAGGTGAGCTGGGAAGTACAGCTGTTAGGGATAGGCCTAACTAGGAAGAAAAGGAAGATGGAAGGAAAGGATGGGAAGGGAAGGACAGAAGTTACTGAGGTCATAATAGAAAATAGAAACTACATTGTTTTGGTTGCAATATTTAACCATAAGGTGAGTGAGGAAGAAATGCAAGGGAAGTATAGATTTCAGAATATTGGCATATGGTTTAGCCATGAAACCCAAGAATGAATGAATTACAAGCAATAGCTAGTACATTGAGAGAGAATAGAGTTATTTAGACAGTCAGTAAGAAGGCACGGTTGGCAATAAGAAGTTAAAACAGTGGATCTCACCTTTGGATGTGTAATAGAGTACTGATGCTCCAATGCCATCCAAAAATTTTTTTGATAACCCAGGATTGCTGGAATTTTTTAAAAGCTCTGCATGTGACTAATGTGCAGACATAGTGGATAACCACTGAGAGCATCGCTATATTGGAGACATACATTGGAGACCTAGAGTTTGTATCTCTTAGCTTCAACCTGGTACAGTCCAGGAGCATGTTCTCCCACCCCCTCCCACCCCATCTCTCTGTGGCTCTCGGCCTTCCAAATAAAACACAATAACATCCACACATTGTTTTTTCATGAGAAGCATTTTTCATGAACTTCTAGAAGTACTGCCATATAGAAATAAAATAGTAACTCCTCAAATATAAAAAGATAGACTGGATAGCCAGCGCCGCGGCTCACTAGGCTAATCCTCTGCCTTGCGGCGCCGGCACAGCGGGTTCTAGTCCCGGTCGGGGCGCCGGATTCTGTCCCGGTTGCCCCTCTTCCAGGCCAGCTCTCTGCTGTGGCCAGGGAGTGCAGTGGAGGATGGCCCAAGTCCTTGGGCCCTGTACCCCATGGGAGACCAGGATAAGTACCTGGCTCCTGCCATCGGATCAGTGCGGTGTGCCGGCTGCAGTGCGCCGGCCGCGGTGGCCATTGGAGGGTGAACCAATGGCAAAGGAAGACCTTTCTCTCTGTCTCTCTCTCACTGTCCACTCTGCCTGTCCAAAAAAAAAAAAAAAAAAAGATAGACTGGATAGCAAATATAGCACAATAATTTGTATGTTAATTGATACAGCAACTTAAAATGATCTCTTTAGAATAAAATTATGTGAAAAATTAGTTACTCTTTGCATTTTTGAGTTAAGACAGTATAGCATGTTTCTTTAACAACACAATAAATAGATTTTACTAATATAAACGGAAGTTTTGATGTATTTCATATAAAATATACTGTACAATATCAATCACTATAAAAGAAGCAAAGGAAAAAGTGTAAACAGATGAACTTTGTATTGGTACCAAATGCTCTATAGTATTCCCTTCAGACTTCCTTAAAGAAACTAAGGACCAGATAAATGCAGAATTTTTAAGGAACAGCCGGGGGCTAACAGCAGGTGATTCTCTGGTTTGTAGTGATTACAAGCTGTGGGGCTTTTTTTAATGTGGTAAAAATGACTGATCATTGTGCCCTTGTCTAAGGCATGCTTCATCATCTTCAAGTACTTTTTTGGCCAAAGAATTCTAAACATAGAGTGTCCCTAATAAGCTCAGTATTGGATTGAACAAGACTGATTTGAGAACTATTGGCAGGAGTAGCTATAATTATTAAATTTACTGAAGAATAAGGCAAGGTAGTAAGTTGGCTCTTTGTCAAATGGCAGTAGTCTTATTAGCAAAAAGTCATCATTTGCAGGGTCAGAGTGAAAGGCTCTAAAGGATTCATTCTGTCCTAATTACAGCTTCACCTATACATATTATGCAAAGCTAATATTTAAAGCATTTGCCAAAATTAACTTCCTCTGCATGTTCTATTACAGTGCAGTGAATTGCAGCAGCTTTTTATGTCCTGCTGCTTTTGTATGCCATAATAATCTATAATTACAGGTTTGCTCCAAATGCTGTAGGGTTTGTTTAATCTGACAATCTGAAAAGACAACCCTGAATAGACTTATTTAAATGAATACTAGTTACATAAAGACATAGAAGCATCAATATCTTCATTTTGCATTTTCTCACAAGGCTGGTTATTTTAGAATTTTATTTTGAATGTCTAAATTAGAGAATATCATGTCTTCTTTGTGTCTTAGTAGATACGTATGAGAGATATATGTTCTATATTTTAAAGCTCAAAAGTAAATCTAATTGCCCAATTAACACATTGAGAGGTCTTTACATTTATGCATATAGCCTGAATTTAGAGAAGCAACTTAGGGAAGAAAAAAATGCCTTTATCTGCATATGAAATCTAAATTTATTCTTTGTTTGCAGGTTTAATAATTTTGATAGATTTATGAACAAGGTCTTTTATTAAAGTTATATTAATTTATTTGAAAGGCTGAGAGAAACAGCAAGCCAGAGTTTCCATCTGCTAGTTCACTCCCCAAATGCCCAGAAATGTCCAGGACTAGGCTGGGCTGGGCTGAAATTAGGAGTCAGGAACTTAATCTAGGTCTTGCATATGAATGACAGGAACAAAACTGCTTGATTCATCACTGCTAACTCCCAGGGTGCACATTGGCTGAAAGCTGGAATCAGGAACCTGACTGGGAGTCAAACCCAGCCATTCTGATGTGGGATGCAGCTGCCCTAACAAGCATCTTAGCTGCTAGGCCAAATGCCCAGCCCCAGACAAGTTCTTTGAAACTGCATTCCCACTGTCTGCTCCTTGAGAAGGGGATATATAGGATGGACTGGTACCTGGGATTGGGGGTTTATGTTTTAGGGAAAAACTGACTCATTCTTGGAATTTATTCATGAGCAAGTTTGAAAAACATTAAACATATATCTTGTAATTCTCCAAATTGAATGACTTAGATTGTTTCTGTTATATCCAGTGTTGTATGTAATACTTTTAAATTTACATTTATAAGTCTGTTATTCTTACAGAAAAATGACAT